TTTTAAATGAATAGTTAATAAATAATTTAATAAATTATTAATGAATTTTTAATGAATAGTTTTGATGAATAATTGACGAATGGTTGATGAATGGTTGACGAATGATTGACGAATAGTTAACAAAATAGTAGACAAATAGTTGACGAATAGTTGCCGAATGGTTAATGAATGGTCAACAAATTTTTGACGAATAGTTACAAATATAGTTAACGAATAGTTGACAAATAGTGGATGAATAGTTGATAAATTTTTGATGAACTTTTAATGAATAGTTTTGATTGTCAATTTTTGTAGTCGCTGATTTATTTATGTCATTTTTTTTTACTGAATTGTTTATTTTTTGCCAAATGTTACATGAATGGTAATATTTTTTGCTAAATATTATATGAGTGGCAGTATGTTGAATAATTTTTTTTCGACTAGTGATATATATATCATAAATGTTATCGGAGAATGCTGTTAAATGTACTGTCATATAAATACTATCAATTAATACTATCGTATATGCTATACATACACTATCTGGTTATGCTATTAATTAATATAACCAAATATATATGTTAAGTATATCACGTAAATGTTATTGACAATGCTATTATAGTTATGCTATCAAAAAATGGTATCAAGTCATGTTATCAAAAAATGTTATCAGATTATGTTATCAATTTATTTTGCCATAGTTAAACCCAAATTGTTAGCAGTTGTTAGTTTTGCATAATTCATTCAAACATTGATCACAGATGAGGCATGTAATGCTGAATTGTTAGCAGTTGTTAGTTTTGTATAATTTATTCGAAATATCAATTAAGGATGAGGCACATAGTATCAAATTGCTAACTATTATAATACACTCAAATATCGATCACGGATGAGATATGTAGTACCAAATTGTTAACATATTTGATAATTATCAAAGCATCTGATAATAAGACACATAGTGTTGAATAGTTATACCTATTTGATAACCTGAGAATGAGACACATAGTTATCCTAACTTAGTAATACTCAAAGCATTATAATAAATATATTTATTTTCTGTTTTTATTTGATATGAGAATGGGATATTAGATATAGAGATAGTATGATATAATGGATGAAAAATTCTTAATGTGAAAAAAAATTGTTGGGTCAACAATCCGTACTTTTTTTAATGTTTTTAATTGGATTGAATCTGTTTTCAGCTATTGATAAAAATTATATGGATTGTTGTTTCAAAAATCGAGTGTGATATGTTTTTAACTTATAGAACCTTACTTTTATAAGTAAATGATCAAACCATATCTGCGGATTGCTGTTCCAAAAATTTGACTATACCTATACAAATTACCGTTCTATTATATCCATGCAGATTGTTGTCCCAAAAATTTAGCCATACCTGTGTGGATTGCTGACCCAAAATTTTATCTATATACTTTACTGTCTTGTTATATTTGTATGGATTGCTGTCCTAAAATTTTACCTTTTACCTCAATAAAAAATGTGTAATACAAAAATGGTTATCGATTACCTCACATATGTATCTCTGATTGTTCCTTCGGGGAATAATTTTGTAATGCAACCACTTACCTTATATTGGAAGCACTTACATACTCTTACAATAAATTATAAGACATTGATTGATATGGCGAAAAAGTCAAGCTTTAAAAAATTCTTTTGTTTCTTTGTTTGAATATTAATACAATTGACAATTTTATATATAAAAATCAGCATTTTTTCATAATTTTTTTTTATATCAACTATGTATGGAAATGAATTAACCTACGAAAACAGGGAACAAATAATTGGTGCCTTTCTTGCTGGTTTAAATGCTTACAAAATATCAATTGTGCTGAAACTTTCTCATATAACAGTGTATAATACTATAAACCATTATAAAAAAACAGATTCTCTACATTCTAAAAAATGATCTGGTCATTCAAAAACTATCTCAATTTGTCAACAACATTATTTAAAGAATATAATTTTGAAAGATAGATTTTTACCTCTTAAAAAATTACTGATCAATTAAACACAAGCCTTAATACTACCTATCACTATAATACTATTCGTACATATCTTCATAATCTTGAATTAAAAGCTCATACTGCTTGTAAAAAACCATATTTAACTTACAAACATTATGTATCTCAATTAAAATGGTATCAAATCAAGCATAACTGGGACGAAGAATGGAAAAGAATCATATAGTCTGATGAATCAAGATTTGTTTTATTCAAGTCTGATGGATGAAATAAAGTATGGTAAAAAGTAGGAAAAGCTTTTAATGTTGATCATATTACACCTACTATTAAGTTTGGTGGAGGGTCTGTTATGTTTTGAGGATGTTTTAGTTGGTATAGTATTGGACCATTAATTACAGTAGATGAAAATGTATATGTTAATATTCTTGCAAGAAATTTAATACCATGGATTAACAATCACTCGAATTCTAATGTAATATTCCAACAAGATTTGGCTCCATGTCATACATCAACATATACAAATTGGTGGATGACAACACATAACATTCCACTTTTGGATTGGGTTTCACAAAGTCTTGATTTAAATCCCATTGAACATTTGTGGGATTATTTGGACCATCAAATACGAAAAAAAAAACCTGTGCCGCAATCAAAAGAAGAATTAATTCGTGTTTCACAAGAAGAATGGATGAATATAGATATAGAAACTTTACATCATTTAATTTTAAGCTTACCTAAACATGTTAAAGCGGTTATTAAAGCTAAAGGTGGACCTACAAAATATTAATTTTTAATATTATATTTTTTTTAGATTAATAAACTTAACTATAATTTTCTTTTATAATCAAAATTTTATAATAAATACCGTAAAAATTTTTTTAAAAAAATTCATTATTGATTATCGATTATATAAAATGTCCCGTAATTTATTATAGGGGTGTGTACACAAAATAATAAATATGAAGAAGTATGACCCAGGAGACTGCCACCACCTCTTTTACTTCTATTTCTAGTGTCGAGGAGACTGATGAAATAAAAAAACATCGTTATTTTTGGTGGAAAACTGGCAACATTCACCCGAAGGCCAGGTGGGAGGAAGCTACGTAAGTCTCTTTCCTATTTGCTTTGAAGAATGGATATTTTTGTAAACCAGTGTCTGATATCAACTGATATTTATTTTCAAGCTTGCCATACGTGCTAAAAACTGATGTCACCTTAGACGAATATATTAAACAAACAGATAAGCATAATGTGCACGCTCTATGGGAATGGGAAAATGGAACTGTTCGAGTTATCGAACTTCCTTCGTCATTTCACGAGGATTGCATTGGTACAATTATAACAGAATTGGGTGTAGCTCTTCAAGCCGTGAGGACCACTCCTTCTGGCATTAAATTTTCTGGAGCGACGAGTGAGTGTTTTATTGGTTTTCTTCATACTATTATATTATAAGTATGTTTACATTACTCGCTGTCTTTGACTAAAAGCAACAAAAACATGTGGAGGTGGCAAGGAGGCAGATGGGTCTCTTCGACCTGTAGGAAAACCTCAAGTGCCTGGAGGTGGATCTGATGGAAGGGTATGAAGAATTTTTAACCCTGTTCATTTGATGGTGTAATTGTGTTAAATTTCTAATGTTTGTGACGACATATCGAATATACTTTTAGAATAAACCCTGGCCAAATCTTGTAATAGAAGTTGCTTACTCTGAAACCGAGGCACATCTTAAGGATAAAATAGAGAATTACTGGCTCCTTCCTAATAGAGTTCACGATGCAATTGCTATTAAGCTAGAATACACACAAGATGATACGGTTCCATCGGTGATGACAGTAAGTAATGACAAGAGGGTTTATTTTCTGCGCAGTTGCCTTGGTACCATCTAAATAATTTTTATTCTTTAATAGGCTTGGCATTATTGCATAAATAATCGAACAGCTATCGGAGCATTAAACCCTGTAATGGTATGTTATATTATCACATGCTTTTTTTAGTACAGAATGAGTTTAATGTATTTTCTATTTAGTATGAATTTGGAACGATTAACCGTCAAGGAAATCCAATCAATATTCTACCTGGACAATGCGTTATTAATATTCAGCTGGGATGCATTTACCATGGAATGCCAAACAACTTCGTAATTCCCACGCCTCCTCT